GTGCACGTGATATGAAGGCGCCCCGGGAGACCGCTTTGGGGTCTGGGCTCACTCTCATAGGCCTCCTATGCCCATCGGATTCTGCGAGTCAGTGCGTCCTCGGCTGGGACCGTACACTCACCTGCTGCACGACATCTTTGTAAATGGTGGCCTCCTTTTATATTCTATGTTAGATAAGGTCTGACTCCGCTGAAAGTTTTCACCGAGGCAAGCGGTAAATTACTGACTCGCTTGTTCGTTCTCGGAACGACAGACGACTACCCGACCAATCAATCATAGACATTCACAGGCGATAGCGACTTCGCAGACTCTCCGCAGATGGTCTCGGCTTTTTGGGCTGACGGCGTCGGGCAAGCGTGAGTGAGTGACTCGCTCGTCTCTCGGAGGTGTCTGGACATGGTGGAAGAGCATTGCCTAAGGGCACAGGCCCAAGTCGCGTATAAGAACTGCCCAAAAAGTTTTTAATGTCACCAGCGTTTTGCGACACAATCATGACTACTCCCACCCCTTCGCCGCGTGACCCATGCGTGTGGGGCGAGGACGTGCGTGCGTTCTGTCTATGCTTCCGTGGACGTGTGCTAATGCTGTTCGTCCCAAGCAGAGAAGCTCCGGACCGAGCGCATGCTCGACGGCAGAGGCGCTCCCGGTACGCGCGCTCCTGTTGTAGACTGCCCCAGCCGCACGCTCGTACGTTATCACGCCAGCCCAACGCGTGGCATTCGGATTCAGCATCTGTGCCTGCATCGTACACACCACCTGCCATACACTTCTATGCGCTTCGCTGACACGCCGCACAGTGCCTGTCATTCGCGTGGCAGGAAGCCCAAGTCACGCTTATCTACCTGATACAGTGCTTCACATTCTCTATGCACGATCCGTGCCCGCCTGAGGCGTTGGCGTAACACCTGGGCGGGTGCCGGTGCAGCGAGAATCGGGAGCTCAGTACCTTCTGTAGACAAAACAGTTTCAGACATCTCTGACTTCGCGATGGCAATTCTAATCGACTGGGAGTACTATCTCTGAGTCCCTTTTGGTTCTACTTTTGACAATTTCGAATGTTGCTTTTTATATATCCACGTTTGGTGCCATCAAATCCACGTGCTTCAGTGCAACATACCTCTGGCTATCTTCCCGTGTGTTCACTGAGATTCAATGTGGACCATCCCAGCGTACCGAGCACCCATATGCCCTCGGGGTCCTGCGAGTATGGCCAGGCCCGGACGGCATGCGCGGAATACGTCGCTTATCATAATTGAGAATGCTAAACGATGCTGTGAGCGATATCTCAGAGCGCTAGACGTCCTACAGCTGATTATGTTGACAGTACCAGCGAGATGCGCCCGAACGCATGGTGTGGATTTTGCGTGAAAATATCCCAGTGGATTCAGAGTTTGTCAGAGGCTGCCTTTTGGGATTGCCACTGTGTAGCGTTGTATTATTGCTCCGAAATGCATGTATTCATGTGCTACTGTTCCTGATGGCATATCACTGAATTGGGGTCATTAAATACAATAAGCTTCTAGTATCTTGCTCGCACAAGCTACAAACGTCAGTATCCGCTTAAAAACAGGGCATACTGCGGAATCTGGTACAGTCTTCAATGCCGGATCACGCCTCAGCGCTGGCCTCATGACGTCCTTCCTCTCTCACTTCTGTCACATCATTCCCGTCATCACAGGGTTCGTCGCTCCTGCCAACCTGCAGCGTTCCCCCCATATTTCCCAACCGATCTGTTGGCCTTGTGAACTGCAGTGACGACTGTCGTTGCCGCTGGTCGCTCATGTGCATAGAGTAGTCCGACACTGTCGAGCCGGCCGTCCGGAGGTTGATGATGAAGCGGTTGATGAGGATCGGGGGCTGCGTGGGTAGTCCGAGTCCGTGAGTACAAACAGTGCGAACGGAACGTAGAGCACGCGCCAGGTTTGTTATCAGCCCGCTTAATATTGTTCTCGAGTCCTTAAGCTCGACGTCAGCTACCTGCTCAGGTACTCACGTCGCGGACGCACCGGATCGGGGATGTTGTATGTGAGAAGCTGGCTTATATTGAGAGCCAGTAGAGCTCTGTGTCCATTGTTGCCTGTGAGAAATTACTTCTAATGCGGCTGTCTCATACTCACATAAAATAGGTAGTTCCTACACGAGTAGCTGGGCTTCAGTAACGGGAATTTTGAAGATGCGTACAAGACCACTGACCATCGCGCAGCAAACACGTCGTCAGCGACGCCTTCATCTTGAGGCGGCGGGCATTCCTCCAGTGTCTGAATGTCTTAATCCACGTTAGGACGAGCACGATAGCGTCAGCGAGGATGAGGGAGCTGCGTGTGGTATACATGACTGTGAGCAAGTAGTATCAGTTCTTGCAATATGTTAGCAGTCTCTGACCGTGGAACATACATCTATATTGCAAGATTATTATTCCGAAAGTGTATCACAAGATATGTGCACCCACATGCCATTTACTTGTGCAGAGATTTTAGGCTGCTCGATGCATGCTGCTCCAATGGTCAGGTCCAACTCAAACTCATACTCCATCATTACCGCATTGTACTGCATGGAAGCGTAAACTAGAGCATATGCAAGGTTCAATCATAAGTTAAACACACTATATTTGTCGCAAATGGCACCATGCTCAACGCGAACGTGATCAGCAACCAGACATAACTCTTATCCCAGACTGCGAAGACACGCAAGGCGGAAAAGACTGGCACATGGAATTCAGTGAATGTATTTTGATTTTGACAGACTGCGTGATGCGTACGTGCGACTTGGAGAAATTGAATGAGGATTAATGCCCAGCCCAGAGTAGTGGTTGAGAGTCCGGTCCTAAGGACCGGTCGGGACCGGGACTTGGACTGAGACTGGACTGATCAGGACTGGGTATGGTCCAGTCCTACGTCAGTCCAGTCTTGGTCACAGTCCTTGGTCCTAGATGGTGCTGGGTGCTTTTAGGACTGGTCATGACCGGTCAGGACCAGTCACAGACCAATATAAAGTAACAAAAATGCAGCACCCAGAAAGCAGCTTGGCTACTGGTACATGTATATCTTAGTAATTTCTGAACTGCAACCATGCCCTTGTAGGCTTGTCCAAGTACACAGCCAGCTTAAGCACAGATTAATACATTTTTTAAAACCTCTTTTTATGATTTATTCAAGTTTGGATGCGGTTACTGCACATAATCAGCTAAAGCCATGACCATGGGAAGATGGAGCCTGAGCGTAGAGATAACAAGGCTCTCAAGGATATGGAGGTTTTATACAGAAATGCTGAGAATGATGAAAGTGGTGCATGATACCCTTCTTCTCTATTTAGAATCCAGCCGCGTAAGCAGAGCATTGTTTTCTTTGCTGAATATAGTAATGTGCAGCCTTAGCTCAAAGCTTGCAAGCCCAGCCCAAAAAAGCCTGACCTGAGCCTGGCCTGGCAGTGTGCTCAAGGCCAGGCTTGAGTCAGTGGGCAGTCTCTGCTAGTGTGAACTTATCCTAAGCTGGCAACTTGGCCGGGCTCAGACTCAGGCTCAGGCTTGGGGGTCAGGAA